GTAATAGATTAATTTTTGACCGATTGTGTGTAGTTCACTTCAATTGCCATGATCCTCTAATATATATAGAAGGAGCTGGTCTTATACTAGTAGGAAGCCTTCTCCAAACAAAATCAGAAGTTTCCCATGAGATCAAAGCAGTTTGTATACAAAGGATTGGTTTAGACTCAGAGAGCCAAAACTGACTGAGGCCACTTTCTAAAATCGGCTTGGGCGGGTTTGCGTAGGGTTTCGGCCACAACCAGCCAAAAACAGCCTGGGGTGGTGAAAGGTCCTAATATGGCAAAAGGGGGGTGAATAGCCTATTTAAAATCTCTACAAGAACACTAGAGCAAGAGGTTAGTACACTAAATGGCGTAAGGCAATTTTGCTCTAGCTCTATAAGGGTTGCAAGCCATCTATCCCAACAATTCTAGTTGCTACAATCTCTAGGCATACAAGAAGCTAAGTCACTACTCACTAAGAGCTCTCAAACACTCTACACTAAATAGCTCCACTAGGTGAAACTAAACTAGCAAGCAAGCTCTCAAAACTAGCTAAAGAGCTTGTTACACAACTAGTTTGCAAGAATATAAGGATGTGAGTAAGATGATTGTACCGCCGTGTCGAGGAATGAACCAATCAATGAATATGAAAACCAATTTAATCACCAAGAGAATGTCAGTCACAATAGGCATAAGATTTTCTCCCGAGGTTCACGTGCTTGCTGGCGTGCTAGTCCCCGTTGTGTCGACTAACACTTGGTGGTTCGGCGGCTAATAGGTATCACACACCTAGCCAACACTTGCCGTCGCAAAAACCTACCTACAAGTGAGGTAACTCAATGACACGAGTAATCCACTAGAGTTACCTTTTGGCTCTCCGCCAGGGAAGGTACAAGACCCCTCACAAATCATCGGGAGACGGCCACGAACAATCACCAACTCATGCCAATGCTCCTCTACTGCTCTAAGCCGTCTAGGTGGCGGCAACCACCAAGAGAAACAAGAAATCCGCAGCTACAACGATCTCCAAGTGCCACTAGATGCAATCACTCAAGCAAACGCACTTGGAATTACTCCCAATCTCACTATGATGATGAATCAATGATGGAGATGAGTGGGGTGTTTATTTAGGCTCACAAGGATGTCAAAATTGCCAAGAGAGGGAGCCCCAAACCGGCCAAGAGCTATTTAAAGAACCCCTCAAACGAATAGAGTCGTTGCTCTACGCAGGCACGTCCGGACGTACCTAACCAGACGCACCCCAGCGTCCGATCGGCCGATGGGCGCCACGTGTCACGCCTTTGAATCTTCACCGCTCGATTCCAATAGCTATCTCCCAAGCACGCGAACACTTAAGTTAGGACCGAACTCACCTGAGCAGCGATTGGACTCGGTGCCACTCACGGTCTGGTCATTTCCAGTAAGCTCCCCGAGCGTGAAAAACACGACCGGATGCATCAGCTCCAAGGCGACCGGACGCGCCCGAGGGTCCGGTCCACTCAGCACAGCACCACGCGCGCCACCGAGTACTGACCGGACGTGGGAACAGTGTTTCCCGTGCATCCGGTTGCGCCAGCTCTCTAGCGTCCGATCGAGCGCCTGAGCGCCTCCTTCTCTGCGCTGTCTGACAGGACGCGCCCGGGGTGAGTCCGGTCACCCCGGCGCTAGAGTCCGGTCACTACTGTCTCCTCATTTTTCTTTTTCTAACTCTTTAACCTCTTTACCTTTGCTTCCATGTTGCTAACCACAGTGTGTACAACTCATGTGCTCGTGTGTTAGCATTTTTCAAAGCATTTTCAAGGGTCAAAGTTAGCACACTAGGTCCCTAAATACATATGCAAGAATCATGTCACATAGTGGCACTCGATAACCGCTTAGCCAAAGATTTCACCTCTTTATAGTACGGCTATCGATCCTAAATACACTCACACCCTCTATGTTGTCTTGAGTGCCAAAATAAATACCTATTTGATACCTTTGCCTTGATCTCTTTGGTTTTTGTTTTTGTTTTTCTCTTTCTTATTTTCAAAAGTAGAGCTTGATCACCATCATCTCATGTCCACCTTCGTCACCATGGACTTCACCTTGCTCCATCACTTGAATTGGACTACCTTATCTAATTCACACACTTAGATCAAATGTTAGTCCTAGGTTTCATCAATTATCCAAAACCAAACTAGGACTTTCAGTCGATTTTCCAAGTCAACACATATTAAGGCCAAAAGCTAGCTTGGGCCAATTCCTAAACCGGCCTGACCAGTTTTGTCTAGTTTTGCCCAATTTGTCACAAATTTTATTCTTCTTCTTTGTATTTGATTCCCAAAGTTAAATGTGACATCTCCAACCTCTTTATGTTGTCAAGTCCTTGTCTTCATCATCTTGTTTTTTTTTACTTCTCCATCTCTCTTTACTTCTTTTTTTTTCACCCATGGATGCACAAATAATAGATCAAGGCTCCCGGCACCCATTGATCTATTGGTTATCGTTAGTTTGCATTCTTTTCATTTTAACCTAGTGGATGATGAAAAAGATTAGTCTTAGGTATCATGCAAGTTTTCAATCTTTCAGTTGAATGAAGGAACCGACAAAGTGAGCAGGAGACCGTTATGTTCTCGATATCAAAAACCGGCGGGCATCAGCTAGCACCGCAATGGTGAGCAACTGAGCATCACATAAGTTCGTGATTGTCTCATTGTCTGTTGCATTGCTGACGGATGAGCGGACAGATCCCTTTGGAAGAAAATGGTGTAATTGCAGTTCAATGAAAACTATTTTTTTATTGTTCTTTAATATTTTTTCCTTTGTGCTAAAAAAAAGAAATTTTGTTACTCCAATGAACAAGCATTCTTGTTAGTTTGTTGCTGTAATTTGGAATTTCTAAGATGTGTTTATGGCCATTCCTGGTGATGCACGAAATGGGTAATTTGATTTTTTTATATATATTTCGAATTTCTAAAATGTGTTCATGGCCATTTTTGTTAGTTTGTTGCTTTAATCTTCCCTTCTTTTTCTTTGTATAAATAGAACAATTTTGTACTTGGTCCAGTAAAAAGTTTCAATTGGCAAAATGCGTGCGTGTGATATACGTAACGGTAATAGTTGAGTGTAAATTTTGTTAGGTTGAAAATGGGAATGCGATTTGCGTCATCCAAGTGGCACTGATGGCAGTATTAAATATTGGTTTGCATGACGAGCCAAAGGGTTAAATAGATATTTCATCTATGTTCGTTTCTCTTATAATTCGTCTTTTTCAGCTTGTTTTTTCAGCCGGAACTGTGTTTCTCTAACAACAAATCAGCCGGAACAGTGTTTCGGCTTATTTTTTCAGCAAAGCAAACAGGGCCACGGGGCCTTAATAAACAACATTGACACTATGGTCTAAAGAAATCCGACTCTCAGTGATTGAATACGAGATAACTTTTTAGTGGTTTGTAAGTAATTAACTAAATTATTTTTTCAATAGGGAGGCTTCCTTCTTCACTAAGAAGGTAGACCATGGAACTGACTCGTTGAGATGCGTGACAGCTATGGGGTGTTTGTTTTTGCTTATTTTGCGCCGGTGACAAGAGTTTGGAAGAATCTTGGCATCTTGCTAAACGTCTTTCTCACTATCGCCCTTGAAGAGAAAATTTGAAAAATAAATTACATCGCCGATTTCTCTCATAGAGTCATGGTTCAACTATCACACTGTGTGGCCGCCGACCGCAGTTCTAGGCAGGGCCTATGTCGCCTAGGTACAAGAAGAAAAATTACCCATTTTTCATCCAGAAATTGGGGACAACATTTTGATTTTCGAATCGGTAGTGCTAGCGCCTGAACGTTCGGATGGATGCCCGCGCGTTGCACTCAGTTTCGCTCTCCACGCGGAGCTCGCGCCGCCCGAGCGACAAGAGGGAAAGGGCATGCGGTGCCTCCAATTCGAAAGGACCCGGCCGCGGCGTCGTATGGATGCCCTGCCGGCGTCGAGAGAGATAATGCAACAGAAGGTGGGGGAGGAGAGATGCAACACCCGATCTACTTTCGAAACATCCAAATACAACAGTTGCAACATACGTCTAAATGCAGTTGAAACACATGAAACATGCTTCTAAAACACTTGAAAACAATTGAAAATCATTGCAACCATACGCAACATCACAATAAAACACATGCAACGTATGTGTGAAACATATGCAACATCCAGATAAAACACACTTGCAACATGCGTTCGCAAAACACAGATGAAACATACCTCTGAAACACTTGAAACATACGTTTGCAACATGCCTCTGAAACAACTGCAACATATACAGTATGCGCAACATCCCCCAATCTATTTCTGCAACATCCATAGGAAACAAATACAACATACATCTGAAACGCATGAAATACATACATATGCATCATAGGGGAGGGGAAGGCTAGGCCAGTCGATTTTGACCACTGGGGTAGGGGAGAGCTCGGTCGCCATGGTGAGAGAGGGCGCCGTCGGGGGTGGTAAGGGCGCTGAGCCGGGGTGGGGCAGAGGCGTCCACTCCCTTCAACACCACCGCTCGTGCTCTATTGATCTCGTCGGAGTGGGGGAGAAGGCCACTGGATCCGCAGGCGTTGGGTGCTCCCGGTGGATGAGGACGCCGGATGGGAGAGGGGCACTGCGGGGGTGGGGAAGGAGCCGTCGGGGTGGGAGAGGAGGATGTCGGGTTGAGGGAGCGCGTCGTTGCCGGCCAAGGAGGCAGCCATGGGTGCGCGAGCGCGAAAGGAAGGAAGAAGGAGGGATTGGATACGAGAGTGAGCTGGAACATTACTGTTTTTGAATACGGCTTTGCCACGCGAGCATACGGCTATACCATCGGACATAGAGAAAAAAAGATGCAGCCTGGCTGCACGAATCTCAGCGCTCGCTCTCCCCTCGCCACGAAGGCACGGACCACACCACACCAAACCACTGCCGCGACATCACTCACTCCGCCCTCTGCAGCGCCAGCCCCAGTCTCGCGTTCCCACCGCCCCGGTGTCAGATCTCGCCCCCGCGCCGCGATGGGCTCGGCCCACTCCTCCCACTCGTCCGTCTCCACCGACGGCGGGGACGACGACGAGGACGACGAGGAGCCGTCCGCGGCGGCCGTCTCCTCCGCGGGCGCACGCGCGCCGGCGCCGGCGCCCGCTCTGGCGCCGGCGCCGGTCCGCGTGCCCCCGGCGGCGTCCGCGTCCAAGGTGCTGGAGCAGGAGCCCGAGGTGCTGCCGTGCCTCGCCGCCGACTCGCCGCTCTCGCCGCAGCCCTCGGCGGCTGGCACCCCGCGCCTCCTCGCGGGGCCCGGCATCAAGGTCTGGGACCCCTGCCACGTCCTCCTGCCCCCGCCGCCGCCGTCCCCGTCCCCGCACCCGGGCAGGCAGGCCGACGCCGCTGCCGTCGAGGTCGTGCTGGTCAGCCACGGCGAGTGCGCCGCCGCAATGCGACCCGACCTCGTCGGCGGCCGATGGCCGGCCGCCGCGCTCACGGCGCGCGGGGAGCGCCAGGCGCGCGCGCTCGCCGTGTTCCTGCGCTCCCGCGGCGCCAGGCTCGCCGCCGCCTACGCGTCCCCGCTTGACCGCGCGCGCGCCACCGCCGCCCTCGTCTGTCGGGTGAGCAGTTCTTCGCAACTCCTGCCGCTGCATTACGTTGCTGCTACTTTACTTTTGTCTTGCAATGCGCCTGAACTAGACCTCGCGGTTTTTATGTCGTAAACTCAATTATGTCAAAAAATTAAAACAGTGCTTGTTATTTCGGCATCTGCATTGTACTTTACATCATGAACTCTCGTGTCAGCTGGAATTCTCCGTGTTGTGCTAAAACTATGATCTTTTGAAGAAAGGGTGATATCTTGCGTTGTGAACATTAGTTCAAATAAGTAGCCTTTGTTGTTTCTTATGTTTGTTTGATGCACATCTCTCAGATCGTGCCACTAAAAGATGGTGCTAAAGTAGGTGATAAAAGGTGCTCTTTGCTCTTTGTTGTATGCTAGGCTGTTGGGTAAGCATGGTGTATTCTGAATATGTTTGATCCTCAGTAGTTTAAGCTGCAGCCATTCCCCTGTTAGTTCAGGAATGCATAGGCCTTTGAGGAATACTGGATGTAGTCTTCATGGTATGGAAGGTTGTCCTTTAGGGTTGCACACGTTGTCTTAGGCACTGATAATTGTACAAAAACTTTTTTATGTTCTGTGGTTGCAAATCGCAACTAGTTTTGGTGTGGTGTGGAGCTTAGGTCGCTAGTCGAAGTTTCTTGTCTTCCTGGCTAATCACTCATGTGAACTCATGCCCGAATGGGCTTGTTTTGTGTTTTGAGTCTTCTTAGACTCCTTTTCTTCTTCTAAATATAATGATACGCAGCTCTCCTGCATGTTCGAGAAAAAAAGTCGCAATTAGTTGATATAGGTACTTCTTTTATTATTGGGTAAGAAAGCAGTTTCTTTATCTTCCATGTCAGTTTTTTTCCCATTTTATTTTGATTATTTCCCACATTGGACAAGTGGCTGTCAATCATTTATCTTTTGAAATAATATTTGTTATGTTGTTAGCTTTAATGGGGATATAACACTTATTTGTAATATTGAAAGGCTGCCACTTAGTCAATGATGAATCTGTGTTTTTTCATGTAGTTTTTTTTTTTCCATGAGAAGATCAAATCTCTTGCTGAGTCTTCCGAGTCTTCCACTAAACTTTGGTGAATCTGAGGCAGTTATTTTCTTTCTTTCTTTTCTTTATTACATTTTTCGTACGATTGAAGTATTCTATGGTTCCTTTGGTGTTTTCTTTACCTTTTGAGCTTCTGAATAGTGCACTATACACTTTAGCAAGACAAAATCAAATAATACTACACTGTCAACTTATCTCAACACACAACAGTTTCACATATGTGACCATTGATAGGTACAGAAAACATAGATAGGAAAAAACTGAAGGAACCAGGAGGAGTCTCTTATTTTCGTTTTGCTGGAATTCGTTTGACGGACTGGTTGTGTTAATATAAGGGTGCATCTTTAGTGAATGTGGCAAAATTTTTGAAAACTGGTCATAGTTTTTAAGGCGTCGCCTCGCCTAGTCGTCCGAGTGGGATTCCAAACGGGGCGTCGCGGTCGCCGCGCCTTCATCGCGTATGGCGTTGCCTCGTGGCTGAAGGCGTCGCCTAGGCGTCGCCTAGGAGTCGATTTCGCTGAGGCGGACGCCATTGACTAAAAGCTGGAAAAAAAGCGTAGCCAAGGCTGCATGAAAGAAAAAAGCGAAGCGATCTGCGATGGGAAAAAAAAAGCAGATCTTGGCGCCTACACCTCCCGCCAACCCAATCCCCATTGCGTCTGTTGAGAGAGGGAGAGGGAGAGGGAAAGGAAGGAGAGGGGAAGAGAGAGGAGGCGGGCGCAACACTGGAATCTGGCCGTGCGGCCTTGGCGCAGCGATCGCCCTGCTGAAGTCCCGCCCGTCCATGACACTGCTGTGGCGTGACTTCGATCCGTCTGCGACTCCAGCCCTGTCTGCGGCCGACTCCTGCTCCGTCCGCCGCGACCCGCGATCGACTCTGGCCCCGTCCCCAACCGCGAGTCTGCTTGCTGCGCGCGATTAAGCGATCACGCCTCCCTCCTCTTTCTCTCTGCTTTGCTCTGCTGCGGCTCTCCTCTTGCTCCCCCTTCTTCCTCTGCTCTTCCTCCCCCTTCTTCCTCTGCTCTTCCTCCGCCTCGTTCCCATGCTCTGCTCCTTCCTGTGCTCTACTTTGCTTTCTCTGCTCTGCTCTTTTCTCGTATTTATGTGTTCTGATTTGATAGTTGGAATGGATAGCTCACAGTGTGTGTGCTCTTCGATGTGGTTGCCTAATTATTGTGAATAATTAATATATGCTGCTTGACTGCTTGTCTCTCGATCATTGAACTTTCTTTGCATAAGAGAGGTTAATTTATTGATCTGTGTCATTGTTATATGTGCCTCTGAGGCTCTGATTGTGAACAGCAGTATGTGTATGGCGTCGCCTCGCCGCGCGCCTAATTCGCCTAGGCGTCTGGAAGGGGGTGGAGCGCCGCACCTCGCCTTACCGCCTTAAAAACTATGAAACTGGTTAAGTTTCATCCAAAAGCGTACTTTGAAGTTTTGGGAAAAAAAAACTTGGCATATCGATAGACCATAGTCATTCATAGATGTACTTTGTTGTAAAAGCTGAGATTCCAACTCATTCTAGATTAGTTCGTACAGAAATGAATAATTCGGGTGCCAAATTTTTCATTTTCATATGAATTAATCTATAATGAGTTTGAATCTCAACTTTTGTGACAAAGTACATCATAACATGAACTATGAATGCACCAAGTTTCAGATTTTATCAAAATTTCGAAGTATACTTTTGGATGGATCTTCACTATTTTCAATATTTGTGCCATTTTCACCAGAGATGCGCCCACAGATAGTATACACCACATGACACTAGCATGAATTGACAAGCTGTTGTATCCAATGCATCGTAACCTGAAATGGATGGCTGTTGAGACAGCTTTCGAGCATATCTTGCTGCCTTTCTATAATTTAATGGTAATTAATTTACAACTGGGAAAAATATCTCTATGCTTTCTGCTGAACAATATCTCATAGGAATGATAATTGTAATTGAGTGCCTGTAAGTGTTAAATTATTAATGCTGTTTCCTGTAACATATGAATAACAGGAATGTCTTTAACAAAAGAATGAAATAATTGTAGCTGTAAGCCCTGCTTCCCAGGCACATTTAGTGTATTTAAGTTTTTAGTTAATCTATGTCATTAAGTCCTTGGGTAGCCCAAGAGTTGTGCGGGTACCCAGGCAGCTATTCTGTCTAGTTAAAGCTCTAGTGAGCTGTATGTAATTAATGCAGTACTTATCCTATATATATTGCAATGCAGTCGCCTGGGAAAGTAGCCCTGGCTGATTATTTCTCTGTTACCTCCAACAATTGGTATCAGAGAGTAGGTTAGACACCTTCTCACCTTCTCATCTTCTCCATGACGTCAACCTCCTCTGAGCGCCGGGCTAGGAAGACCAAGGGAGCCACTGAGGGCGAGCTGGGCGACCCCTCTGCGAGGGCTGCGCGCCAAGGCAAGCAGAGAGGAGGCGCGGCGCTGGCTGGCAAGGCGGCAGACAAGAAAGCAGCAGAGCATGGATGCGGCCAGACAGACAATAGCAGCATGAGGCTGTGAGCGGAGATAGCAGCAGAAGAGAGGAGATGAGGAGGAGGAGGAGAAGAAGAAGAGGAGGGCCGGAGGAACCGCGGCCGTGGACTCCGCCCGTGGGGGAAAGCGCCGTTCGCAGATCCACCATCGCGTGACTGGAAGGCGCGTCGTGGCGGCGGTCATATATGAGTCGCCAAAGGCGGGGTGGTCATCGCGATTCCGGCAATGCACATCATGGCCAATCTTTGGACAAGACCAATTATTATGAGTGGAGCAGACGATGAAGCTCGGGATGCGGCGCGCGACCTACGGGAAAATTTGTCGAAGGAGGCCCAAAGTGCGATTTAGCGACGACAAAGCGAGCTCTGGAGGTGATCGTCCGCCGCTTGTGCCCAAGGAGTTGGGGCTCCGCTCCTCGACAAGCGACGACAAAAGAGGCATGGGATGCCATCGCCGCGACTCAGATCGGTGTGGGGATGTGGTCCGCCGAGCGACGCGGTAGCTGCTGCGCGTCGGAGTGGGGAGAACATTGGCGTCAAGCCTGGCGAGCCGGTGGAGGATTTTGCCCTGCGGTCATCAACTCTCGCACCAAAGCCAAATTGGTGCTTCATGGAGACGAGGACATCGATGAAGCGCGTGTTGTGGAAAAGTTTCTGCGCGACGGTGCCGACCCAAGCTACGCAGATCGTCGCCGCCATTGAGCGTTCCTCGACTTCGAGGCGCTCACGCTTGAAGAGGTGATGAGGAAGGCTCAAGGCGGTGGATGACCGTGAAAGCGCAAGTCGTGTGTGTGAGCCGGTGTCCATCAACGGCAAAGCTGCAGACACCGAGGGAGCGATGGCGTCTGCACGCGTTGAGGAAGGAGAAGAAAGGTGCAGAAGAAGTGGCGGTTCTAGTTTCAAGAACCGGTAGCGGCGGTGGCGGAGGACCCACCATGAGAGGTGGACGATGACGGGCAGAGGTGCTTGGCCGTGGCGGCAGACGTGGAGAAGGCAATGGCGCCGCGGCCGTGTTGGCCCTAACACGTGTCTCAACCGCCATCGGGAAGGGCATTGGCGGCGTGAATGTCCCCCCGCCAGCGCCGTGATGGAACAGAGCAGCGGCGGGGAGGAAATCATGGTGGACGCGGCGGCGAAACCGTGGAGGAGGCCGTGGCGGGCGTAACAGAATTGCAATTGGGCAGCAAGGAGGACATGAAGGGCATGCCCGATTTCTTTGAGTGTGAGGAAGATGCGCTCTGCTCTCGTCTCACGGCTTCATTGAGATGGAACAGAGCACGCCGGAGCTCAACTATACAGCGCAGCGCGTTGAGTTCTTTGAGCCACGTGCGCGTGCTTATCTGGGAGCAGATGATGAAGAGATGGCTGGCGGCTGGTACCTTGATTCAGGCGCAACACACCACATGACTGGGCGGCGTGACCTGTTTTCAGACCTGAACACGGACGTTCGAGGCACGGT